TTCCAGAAAACCTATTCTGGGGGTAGGCATAAGAGTAAAATGGAGATAGGAGGAGAAGAATTCACTGGAATACAAGAAGTGAGAGACAGGAAGTATTTCTACATGCCTGGCACAATACCTGGCCCAAAGAAAGTGCCAGGGCTACTGCTGGTCCATATAGTGCTTTTATGTAACTTAGAACAAGGTAGATACAACCATGAGGCATGCCTATTTGTGCCTGGGAAGTGAATCACATATACAACTGTACATGGAAGCCCTGGGAGACACACTGAAATTAATTCATTTATTAATTAACTAATTAAAAGAAAAAGAAAAAAGTCTAGGAAAAGAGGGAGTTAAACAATAAAGAATAACTGAGAATGGGAAAGAAGAAGAAAAAAACATGGGAAAGAATATATAAATGGAGGCCGGGTGCGGTGGCTCCTGCCTGTAATCCCAGCACTTTGGGAGGCCGAGGCAGGCGGATCACGAGGTCAAGTGTTCGAGACCGGCCTGGCCAACATGGTGAAACCCTATCTCTACCAAAAATACAAAAATTAGCTGGGCGTGGTGGTGTGTACCTGTAGTCCAGGCTACTCAGGAGGCTGAGACAGAAGAATTGCTTGAACCCGGGAGGCAGAGGTTGCAGTGGGCAGAGATCGTGCCACTGCGCTCCAGCCTGGGCGACAGAGCGAGGCTCCATCTCAAAAAAAAAAAAAAAAAAAAAAGGATATGTAAATGGGAGGAGTGTCACCGGGGGAGGAGTGTCACGGGGGCGGGGGGGGGGGGAGGAGTGGCACAGGGGGCGGGGTGTTGTGAAGAAGGGAGGTAGAGGGAGGGCGCTCTTTGCTCCAAATGCAGACCAGGTGCCTTCTGCAGGTCCTCTAGACTCAGTACCCATGGTAAGCACACCTCGGTGTGACTGCTTGCAAGTGCTGCTTCATCTGTGGCACCATAAGCTCCGGACAGCCAGGAAACAAATGGATGATCTAGCATTCTTTTTTTTTTTTTTCTTTTTGAGACAGAGTCTCACTCTATCACCCAGGCTGGAGTGCAGTGGCGCGATCTCAGCTCACTGCAACCTCCGCCTCCTGGGTTCAAGCAATTCTCCTGCCTCAGCCTCCCAAGTAGCTTGGATTACAGACATGCGCCACCACGTCTGGCTAATTTTTGTATTTTTATTAATAGTAGAGACACGGTTTCACCATGTTGGCCTGGCTGGTCTCTAACTCCTGACCTCAAGTGATCCACCCGCCTGGCCTCCCAAAGTGCTGTGATTAGAGGCGTGAGCCACCGCGCCCGGCTGAATGTTCTAGCATTCTATCTCTTCACTTCTTACTGAACAAAGGAGGCATTATCTGACCAACATGACTGGATGGTGCTCTGCCACTACTTATGTCTGTTCCTTCTCCCTTTCCTGGCCCTGAAGCCCAGCAGAGGGACCCTTCCCACCAACTCCTTCTGTTCTTCTGGAGCTTCTTTTGGAGTCTGGGGCTGGTGTTCCTGCTCAGACACCTGGACTCAGGCCAGTGTCTCTCCTTCCCGCAGGCCTGGGGATGGATTGTGCAAAACGGTACTATGCCTTGGAGCGAGAGGTTAGTTCACAACCTAGTTATTAATTACTCACTTGCTTTTTATCTTGAGCATTGCATCAGGACCGTGAGAATGACTTTATAGCCACTTGAAGTAGGCAGTATCAGCTTCTTGCTCCTCCCTCAACCCCAAAGGTCCAGATACAGTAGTAAATCCTGCCAAAAGTTACTGGAATCCCAGCCATCCCACACAACTCCTAGCACATTCAGGACATCCCTTCCAGAATGGGAAAAGCTACTCAGCCAGGAGGACCCCCATCATCAGAGCCCTGCAGTGGGGCCTCCATATGCCATCTCACCCATCTATCATATTCAGGCTGTATTGCACTGGATTCAGTTGTGGGGACATTTAGGGAGGAGAAGGTAGAGATTTTACACCTTGCCTCAGATGCCCTGGGAAGTCCCTCCCCTAGTGTGATTCCCATCCGTCTTGCTGCAGTTCTAGTATTTTTCCCCTTGTTTGGCGCTCCTTGTCACTGGTTGAATAAATACTGTGAGCACACTTAATGGTGGGTGTAGCAGACTCCTCCTCCTTTTATTCCTATCTCAAGTCAGAGAGTCAGCCCTACAGGGGAGAATGGGAATGAGACCTCTCGGCCTCTCCCCTTGCGCCCTCCTGCCCCTTGTTTGACCCTTTTATATTCCCCACTCTGAAGATTGTGGAGTCACAGCCGGCAACCAAATCCCTTTTGAGCTCCTCAGCCTCCTGATCTGGGCTCTGTCTGAGCCTGCTGCTGCTGCCGCCGTAACACACTGCTGAGGTGCAGATCTAATTTAGTGACAGCCAAGCCCTCTCCTCTGCTGCCCCACAGAGAACTCAGGGCTCTCAGAGCACACCCAGCTGATGGGGCCTCAGCTCTCATTCTTCAGAGATGCCACCTTAGGCAAGTCACTTGACCTCAGTTTCCCCATCTGTAAAAGGAGGTGGCACCTGCCCACCTTAGAGGTACTTGTGAGAATCAAACCTGACGACGTTTATTAAAGTGCTTAGTAAAGCCCTTAAGTATAGCACAGGGCCGGGCGCGGTGGCTCAAGCCTGTAATCCCAGCACTTTGGGAGGCCAAGGCGGGTGGATCACGAGGTCAGGAGATCAAGACCATCCTGGCTAACATGGTGAAACCCCGTCTCTACTAAAAATACAAAAAACTAGCCGGGCGTGGTGGCGGGCGCCTGTAGTCCCAGCTACTCGGAGGCTGAGGCAGGAGAATGGCGTGAACCTGGGAGGCGGAGCTTGCAGTGAGCCGAGATCGCGCCACTGCACTCCAGCCTGGGTGACACAGCGCGAGACTCCGTCTCAAAAAAAAAAAAAAAAAAAAGTATAGCACAGAAATAAGTAATTATCTTTCACCATCACCAGCCAACTGGCCTCAAAAACTCAGCTCAGAACTTCCCCCACTCCACCCTGCTTCCTTTGATTTATCCCACTTAACTCGAATCATTTTTACCCTCTGGAGTTGGTTTGCAGCCTTGAGATTTTTGCATTTGCTGCCATGTTGCTGGGTCACATTTGTGTACAACTTTCTATTTTCCAGAGAAGACTGTCATCTCCACAAGGACAGAAACTGTATCTTATATGATCGTCTCCATTGCCACACAGCATCACATTTAGGATTCTATACAGACAGAAGAATGAACAAACATTCATTGTGACCAAGTAAGGTGGCTCCCATGCCTGTAATCCCAGCACTTTGGGAAGCTGAAGAGGATCGCTTAAGGTCAGGAGTTCAAGACAGCCTGGGAGACATAGTGAGTCCTTGTCTCCACAAAAAAATTTAAAAAATTTGTCAGGCATAGTGGCACACACTTGTGGTCCCAGCTACTTGGGAGCCTGAGGCAGGAGAATCACTTGAGCCGTGATGGCGCCATTGCACTCCAGCCCGGGCAACAGAGCAAGACCCTGTTTCAAAGAAGAAAAAAAAGCTTTCTGCATTTAAAAAAAAAAAAAAAAAGAAGCTCAGAAGTTAAATGACTTACTCACAGGCATAAGGTTACTAGATCCTAGCACTGAGCCTGATTTGTAATTGTTATTTCCTTAAATGGTCATCGAATGAGAAATGAATGACTGCATGCATGGTACATGGCACTGGGTCTGTCTGGTTCCAGAGCACACAGTTTCTCCAGTGTAGCACACAGCTTCTCAGTGATTTTAGCTGGGGAAAGATCTCCATGGGAGATGTGGAGCTGGCAGAGCTCTGTCGCCTCTGGCTGTCCCTCCCCAGTCTCAAACTCCACCCTGTAGTTAGCACCTCAGGCATCTGAGCTTGGGAGTAGAATCCCTGGTATTCACAGTGACATAATCACCTCCTCGCTCCAGGCTTTTCAGAAGCCAGTCCAGTCACCTTGGTGTCTTTGCTATTTAGAGATTTATTGGGAGGTTGTCTGGTTCTATCCTGAAACCCTCAGGGGGAAGGAGATAGCATTACCTTTTATGCCTCTGCCCCTCAGCCTTGACTGAGCTCCACCAAGCAGCCTAACCCCAATCCCAATCTGTCCTGTAATTTCCGTTTCTAAAATATGAGCCATCACAGCATTTTGCTGCTGCCTCTAAAACATGAGAGGCTGAGACCCAGCTACTTGGGTCTTTGAGAGGGGATTGTGACGGGCTTCATTGGATTTCAGAACTGAAAAGGACCATTGTGTTCATTCGGCCTCACCTCTTACCTGGTGCCTGAAAGTCTCACAATGTCTCCATCATGCTTAATCTCTGCTTAAAGCCACTTGGGACTTGCCCCTTTGGGAAACTCCCTTAGACCTCTTCTTCCCTAACTTGAGCTCTGATCTGGCTTCCGAACTGTCTCCTCTGATGGAGGTTTGCCCTGCGAAGCCATTTCTTTTCAGCGTGGACTTTGCCTGCAGAAGAGCCAATACGTTTCCATGGCAAGAATGGGTTCGGCATTTCCCCACCTCTGCTTTCTGCTCAGCTAAATCTTTCTGCTTTGGAGGCCCTTCTGGTCTCTTCTCTGACTTCCCGCGTAGGTCTGGGTGGGGAAGGGGAAGACGCAGAAGGAGGTTCAAATTGGGAGGAAAGATCCCTTTACAGAAGTGTTTCTGATGTTCATTTGTCAGGGGGATGTTTCCTGAAGAAAGCGCCCTTGAAGGCCATGTTTGTTGTTGTTTCAAAATCTTCCCTGCAGGGGCAACACTCAAATCTGAGCATCACCAGCTGTGTAGTGAGGGGCTCATCTGTCAGCAGCTCCAAGGCTCTGCCAGCCTGTGATGACAGTCAAGGTGGGGCACGGGTGACCTCCAGAACTAGAGGTCACGGTCATTCCTAAGCTTGGGATTTGAGAGGGAAGAAGCAGCTGTCCAACTCTCCTTTCAGTGGTTTTAATTTCGTCCTCCGGTCAGGCGGAGTGGCTCATGCCTGAAATCCCAGCACTTTGGGAGTCAGAGGTGGGAAGATCCCTTGAGTCCCGGAGTTTGAGGCCAGCCTGGGTAACACAGGGAGACCCCATCTCTTTAAAAAAAAAAAAAAAAAAAAAAAAAGTCCTGTCCTCACAAAGTATCCAAAAGCTCAGAGTGCTAGGTGCTGGTTCTTTCTTCACCCCTTTCCAAACTCTGTTCCATCTTACTTCTTTTCACCAGACCCTCCTAAGTGTTTCAGTTAAGGAGGCTCCTGGGGCTGGTTCTCCTGTTCAGGTTCCTGATCTCTCCATGACTCCAGTCCTTTGGATGGAAGTGGAGTTTAGCAGTCCACACAGGTGAACACCCGCCATGGTGATCTCTCATTCCTCTTGCTTCCTCCTTCCTTCATGTTATTTTATTCCTGCCCTTTAAAAATATTTTTTATTGATTATTTTATATTTACAAAAGCAATTTTTGATGCACATAGAAGACTTAAAGACTCGAAAAAGTTCTCTTAGCACTCCCTCAAAATTAAAGTCATTCTTCCACTCAAAAAAAAACCAGTATCCGAGCTGGGCGTGGTGGCTCATACCGATAATCCCAGCACTTTAGGAGGCCGAGGTGGGTGGATCACAAGGTCAGGAGTTCAAGACCAGCCTGACCAACAAGGTAAAACCCCATCTCTTACTAAAAATACAAAAATTATCTGGGTGTGGTGGCGGGTATCTCTAATCCTAGCTACTCAAGAGGCTGAGGCTGAGGCAGGAGAATCACTTGAACCCGGGAGGCGGAAGTTGCAGTGAGCCGAAATGGCGCCACTGCATTCCAGCCTGACCAACATGGAGAAACCCCATCTCTACTAAAAATACAAAATTAGCCAGGCATGGTGGTGCATGCGTGTAATCCCAGCTGCTTGGGAGGCTGATGCTGGAGAATCGCTTGAATACGGGAGGTGGAGGTTGTGGTGAGAGGAGATTGCACCACTGTACTCCAGCCTGGGCAACAAGAGCAAAAACACCATCTCAAAAAACAAACAAACAAAAAAACAGTATCCACATTATGGTTATGTCTGTCTTTTCTTATAATATCCTCTCTTTAGAGATATACCTAAACAACTTTTTATCTTGGAATCATTTTAGATTTATGGGAAAACTGCACAGATAATACTAAGTTCCCACATGCCCTTCAACCAGTTTCCCCTAATGTTAACATCTTACGATACCATATTACAATGATCAAAACTGCAAAATTGGCCAGGTGTGGTGGCTCACGCCTGTAATCCCAGCACTTTGGGAGGCTGAGGCAGGTGGATCGCTTGAGGCCACGAGTTCAAGACCAGCCTGGCCAACGTGGCAAAACCATCTCTACTAAAAATACAAACATTAGTCAGGCATGGTGGTGCATGCCTGTAATCCTACTCAGGAGGCTGAGGCACGAGACTTGCTTGAATCTGGAAGGTGGAGGTTGCAGTGATCCAAGAATATGCCACTGTACTACAGCCTAGGTGACGACAGAGTGAGACTCTGTCTCAAAAAACAAACAACAACAACAACAACAACAACAAAAACTGAGAAACTGGCCAGGCCTGATGGCTCACATCTGTAATCCCGGCACTTTGGGAGGCCAAGGCAGGAGGATCACTTGAGCCCAGGAGTCTGAAACCAGCCCTGGCAACATAATGAGGCTCCGTTTGTACAAAAAATGCACACCTGTAGTCCCAGCTATTCAGGAGACTTGAGGTGGGAGGATCGCTTGAGCCTAGGAGGTTGAGGTTGCAGTGAGCTATGGTTGTGCCACGCCACTACACTCCAGCCTGGGTGACAGAGCAAGACCCTGTCTCAAAAACAAAAACAAAAACAATACTGAGAAATTAACACTGGCGGCACTATTTATTAAACTACAGACTTTATTCAGACTCCACCAGTTTTTCCACTAATATCCCTTTTCTGTTCTAAGATCCAATCTTGTTGCATTAGTATATATATAATTTAAAATAAAACGTATATCCCACTGTACACCATTTTGTTGCTGGCTTTTTCCACTTACTAGTATACCATAAAGCCAGGCGTGTAATCCCAGCACTTTCGGAGGGATGGGATCCCTGTAATCCCAGCACTTTGGGAGGCTGAGGTGGGCAGATCATTTGAGGTCAGGAGTTCAAGACCAGCCTGGCCAATATAGAGAAACTCCATCTCTACTAAAAATACAAAACCTAGCTGTCCATGCTCCCTTGAACCCGGGAAGCGGAGGTTGCTGTCAGCTGAGATAGGTCACGATTGTGCCGAAAGCGAGACTCTCTCTCAAAACAAAAAAAAAACCATAAACATTTCCCCAGGCTGTTAAAATTATTATTATTGGGCCAGGCGTGGTGACTCACACCTGTAATCCCAGCACTTTGGGAGGCCAGGGCGGGCGGATCATGAGGTCAGGAAATCGAGACCATCCTGGCTAACAGCTGAAACCCCATTTCTACTAAAAATACAAAAAAAAAGTGAGCTGGGCGTGGTGGCAGGTGCCTGTAGTCCCAGCTACTCGGGAGGCTGAGGCAAGAGAATGGCATGAACCTGGGAGGTGGAGGTGGCAGTGAGCCAAGATCGTGCCATGCCACTGCACTCCAGCCTGGGCAACAGAGCGAGACTCTGTCTCAAAAAAAAAAAAAAATTTTTTATTTTTCTTGAGGTGGAGTCTCGCTCTCCATCTCAAGAAAAATTGAGTGCAGGCTGGAGTGCAGTGGCACGTTCTTTGCTCACTTCAACCTCCATCTCCCAGGTTCAAGCAATTCTCCTGCCTCAGCCTCCCAAACAGCTGGGATTACAGGCTCCCGCCACCATGCCTGGCTAATTTTTGTATTTTTAGTAGAGGTGGGGTTTCGCCATGTTGGTCAGACTGCTCTCGAACTCCTGACCTCAAATGATCCACCCACCTCTGCCTCCCAAAGTGCTGGGATTACAGGCGTGAGCCACCATGCCTAGCCTATTAAAATTATTCTATGCCATCATTTTTAATGGCAGCATAGTGTTCCATTGAGTGGATTTGCCATAAGTTGCTTAGCCAATGGCTTATTATTCTACATTTAAATTGTTTCTAATTTTTCACTATTATAAGGAATGATGAGATGAAAAACTCTTCCACACTTCTGATATACACATCTCTGATTATTCTGCCACCAGAGAAATTCCAGAAATGGAATTGCTGTGTCCCGGGGGGCTCATCCCTCCTCCTTCCAAGTCCACAGCCAGGATCTGGCCCTGCTGCTGGCCCTTATGCCTGAAGAGACTGCTCACCCTCATCCTGAGGCAGACAGAGGAAGGAGCACAGAGAGCTCAAAGTGGACCACCGGCCCTGGATGATGGAGATGGCAAGAGACGGGAACAGCGAGGGAACTCCAGGTCCTTTATGACCTCTCAGGCTTCCATGAGGCCAACCTGATGCAGCTGGGTATCTTGTCTCTGTGGAATGAGAAGGATGCTTGCTCTTAGCCCAAGGACAATGAGGAGGGGCTGTGTGTGGGGCCGGGGCAGAGACTGCTAATGCATTTTGCCAGCATCTTTGGTTTCTCCAATATCCAGCTAGACTATTAGCAGTTCCCCAAGGATGGCCTTGCTCCTCACGTCATCCCCCATTTCCTATAAATGGGAAGTGGCTGGGGAGTAGTGTGTGTGTGTGTGTGTGTGTGTGTGGTGGGGGAGGGAAGAGAGAGGAAGGGAAGGGGCCGTGGTGGTTTTCCTCCAGCTGACCTCATGGAGAAGTGAGGCCCAGAGAAGTTGTTATTTGCCCAGAATGCCACAGCATCCTAGAGAGTAGTATGGGTTTTCTCTGAGGCTCTGAAGTCACTGGCCAGGCTTGCTGAGGGACTGCTGCCTCTGCCTTGTTTCTGGGGCCCAGAGATTGTTTTTTCTGTGTAATCAGGGGCTGTCGGGGAAGTAACTGGCCTGAGGAATTGCCTTGTTTTTTTTTTTTAGACGGAGTCTTGCTCTGTCACCCAGGCTGGTGTGCAGTGGCATGATCTCAGCTCACTGCAACCTCTGCCTCCTAAGTTCAAGCCATTCCCCTGCCTCAGCCTCCCCAGTAGCTGGGATTACAGGTGTGCACCACCACACCCACCAAAGTTTGTATTTTTAGTAGAGACAGGGTTTCACCATGTTGGCCAGGCTGGTCTCAAACTCCTGACCTCGTGATCTGCCCACCTTGGCCTCCCAAAGTGCTGGGATTACAGGTGTGAGCCACCACACCTGGCCAATTGCCTCCATTTTATCTGAAAATGGTACCCATCTCTTGGGTTATCCTAAGGATTCAATGAGTTAATACGCACAAAGTATTTAGAAACAGTGCCTGGCACAATTAGTAATGGTTAACTATTATTATTATAACATGAGGCTACATCAGCAGAAAGAGGGGGATTTTCAGAGCAGAGAGCCCTACTGTACCTTGTATTGGGTGGGGCCTGGCCAGCGCATCCACCTGGTTTGGTTGGGGGGGTGATTGGGTAGGGCCCAGGATCACTATGGGATCCAGGCTGTGTGCTCACTTCCCTGAGCTCTCCTTCCTCATCCCCTTGTCACAAGGCATAAAGCACAAGGGCCCCTGGAAAGAAGTGGTGGGAGGCAGGAGGAAGAGGGGGGCTGTTACTTGTCTGTGGTGGGACAACTCTCTCATGTTCCCCGTGTTCTTTCCCAAGCCCGCAAAATAACACCGTCCACTCTCTCCTGGCTCTGTAATTTTCCAGCTGACCTGAAATTTCCCCTGACTCCTGACCTCTTTCCTGGAGGAGAGGGGACACCAGCTCAGAGACCCTGGACTCCACCCTGGTCTCTCTGCTGGCCATAAGAGGGTATGCCGAAGACTTTGGAAAGCCATCGCTAGGAGGGTCCCCAGGTAGAGGCGTGTGTGCTCCAGGGAGGCAACGCTGAGACAGTTTTCAAGTTAAACTTGTTTAGTGACTCAGAAGGTAAATTCTTGATTTTTCTCTTCTCAACTCTCTCTGGCACCTGCTCTCTGTTCCCCACTACCACCAGGTTGCCACTGTTTCCCTCTCCCTTCTCTATCTCCCTTTCTTCTCTGCCTCCCTCTACCTCTCAATGGAAGGTGCCCTTAGATCATTAGGCTCACTCCCACTTACAGAGGCCCAGAACATGGAAGGGACTTGGCCCACATCACACAGCTGTTGACACAGGGCCAGCATTGGAACCCAGTGCCACAATGCCCAGTCCAGGGCTAAGGCCAACCAGGTCTTCCCCTTCAAAGGCATCTTCCTGGGACTTTGTAGTATTCAAGTCAACGATCCATCTAAATTGGATTTCTCTCCACCCAATAAAACTCCATGGAGGAAAAAAGACAAAACTGCCCCCCACCCCCACCCCCCACCCCCAGGGCCAGCCTGGGACTCCACTTCTCCGCATTCACCTGCACGTTTCTATCAAAGGCATTCTGGAACAGGTGTCTGTTAGGACCTTGCTCAACAGCTGACAAAGAGAACATTTCATTGGCAATTTATCATCCATTCTTCCCCATACACACTCTTAAGGAGAAAAAAAAATGGAATTTGGTTTTTAGCGCAGAAAAAGGGATTGAGTTAGCTCTATCTGCGTTGGAGAATAGCAAAGAGCAGAAGGGTAATTCGGGAACAATGTGACCTCTCCTTTGAAGGGATGGTCCTGGACAGACAGGGTGCAGCTCTGCCTGGAGATCGGGTGGCCAGAAAGGCACGCCTGGGTAATGGTCGCAGCAGACTGGCTCCCAGGAGGGGAGAGGAGGTGCCCTGCGAAGCCGGGTAGCTTTCACCTAAATGTTTGGTGGCAAGCGACAGAGGGGGCGGTGCCCTGCCCTAGGTAATGATAGGGCAGTCTGGGAGCCACGCGGGGGCTGCCCGTCGCGGTGCGGCTACAAAGCCAGCTTGGAGACCTCCCGCTTTCTTCCCCTGGGTACCAGCCCCACCCCTCTATCCCCCCTCGCAGCACCCCCCACCTCCGTCCCGCCTCGCCCCGCCCCCCTCCTGGCAGTCCCAGCGCGCATGCTCTCTCCCCCCGCGGAGTAACCTGGAGATTTAAAAGCCGCCGGCTGGCGCGCGTGGGGGGCAAGGAAAAGAGGGGGGAAACCAGTCTGCACGCGCTGGCTCCGGGTGACAGCCGCGCGCCTAGGCCAGGTAGGAGCGCGGCCCCTCCTCTCCCAGGGGTGAGGGTCCCGGCGCCGGAAAGGGAGCAGCAGTGCGCGGCCGAGCTCCGCGGTGTCGCGTGTTTTGCGCCCCGCGGGATGGGGCCGCGCCGTGGCCGTCCGGGGCGCTGCGCGCCGAGCCCCGCGCGAATCCCAGAGAAGGGCGCGTCCCACGCGCTCTGCCGTGGCGGGTGCCGAGTGCCCGGCGCCTGCACGGGTCCCCGCTGAGCTGTGCTTTCTTCCGCGGAGGGCGGGCAGGCAGGAGGTGCCCGCGCTGTCCCAGGCCGGGGGGCTGTGTGGGCGGGGAGCGGCCCCTCCCCGGAGCCCCGGGCCGGGTCGGGCCGGGCCGACGGCTGGCTGACCGGCCGCTCGCTCCTGTTGCAGCCTCCCGCGTCAGACTTTTCTTTGGAAAGTTGCGTTTATTTTCTTCTCTTGTCTGGGCTTCACCGGAAAGGGGCAGGATGAGCCACTGTGGCGCGCACAGTCCGGGACTTGGGGGACTGGGGACGGGGGCCGACTGCCGCGGCGCCGCGGGGTGCTCAGGCCGGGTTCGGCTTTCTTGAGGAAGAGTGAGAGAGTTAAGAGAGGGAAAGGGGACGGAGCCCTCTTGGACTTTAGACCTGGGGCGAGCTCTGCGTACAGAGTTGGGGCTGGACCGTGTGTGTGTGTGTGTGTGTGTGTGTGTGTGTGTGTGTGTGTGTGTGTGTGTGTGTGTTACTGTGTCCCTTTTTCAGCCTCAGTTTCCCCCTCTGTGGGGAGAGAAAGGCCGCTGTTTTTTCCTCGCCTCCCTGGTCTCAGGTGGGGAAGGAGAGTGTGCTGCAAACGGCAAACAGGTGTGATGTGGTGGTACCTGGGCATCCCGTGCAGCTTCTCAGAGCTGTAGGCCTAAGCAGGCTTGCTGGAAAAGCCCCAGGGACCTGCAGGTTTTCTCCGGAGTGCGGGTCAGGCCTTCCTGTAGTCTTTCGCTCCCCCTAGGCACTGCAGTCCTGTGAGTTGCTCTTGCCCTTGACCTCTGAATCAGTCTCCATCTTCCTGACAGACACTCTTGACCTGCTCAGCTTTTCCCCACCCCAGGGCATGTTCCCTATGCTTCCTCTTTTTCCAAGGGGCCAGAGTTGTGGGTAGGGAGGGGTTTGGCATGGTGGGTACCTGGTGAGGACTCGCCCTTCAGCTGTTACATAGACCCGATCCCAGTGGAGCAGGGACTAAGAATAGCCCAGCTGCTGTCTTGCTGCCCTGGAGTCTGCAGCCGGGCATTGCCAGTTGACCGGGGCCCAGAGTGACCCTTGCTGGGTCCTGGAACCTTTGCTCAGGGGTGGGGTTGAGGTCTTAGGGGCTTCGGACTACCTTTCCTGATGCACTTAGCAGATCTCCGTTCAGAGCAGAGACCACTTTGGTGTGGACTCACCTGCCCGAGGGCTGGGGAACAGGCTGGCCTGTGGGCTGGGAGTGGGAAGGGCCTGGGAGGCCCAGGCTAGAATGGAAGCCTGAGGAAACCCATAGAGCAGCACATTGTAGGGGTAAGTGGGACGTAATTTGAGGTCGCAGGCCATTCTGTTGGATCAGTCCCATTCCCTCATTCCTCCCTTATCTCCTCCCACCAGGCCTGTCGTGGAGCCAGGACTCTGTTATTCTGAAAGTGCTCAGAAAATGGAGCTTGAGTCAGCAGAATGAGTTTGAAGATAAAAATACAGCTGTGGATGAATGTACAGCTGTGGACAGATAGGCCCCAATTTAGTGGGTGTGTGTTAGGGGGAGTTTTCCTATGTATTCATGGAGTGTGTGGTGAACTTCCCCGTCCCTCCTGGCTCCCTGAATAACCTTGAAGGAGGAGGAGGAGTAGACAGTGATCCCTGGTGGTCTCCTGAGCCCCTTCCAGGCCACTGGGTGGTGGAGGGATAGTGGAGGCCTCCCTCCCGCTCTCCCCTTACCCAAACTGGAGCTCTCAGCCTGGGCAGGGCTGGTCTGAAGACTCAAAGTAAAGTTAACTTGAAGACTTTAAGCACTATCATCTGGACGTCACAGCCTGATAAGTCAACATTATGGATAAAAACCCAGACTATCAGATAGTTTCTTTTCTTTCTTTCTTTTTTTTTTTTAGATGGAGTTTCACTCTTGTTGCCCAGGCTGGAGTGCAATGGCACGATCTCAGCTCCCTCCAGCCTCCCCTCCTGGGTTCAAGCGATTCTCATCCCTCAGCCTCCCAGGTAGCTGGGATTACAGGCGCCCACCACCACTATGCCTGGCTACTTTTTTGTATTTTTAGCAGAGACAGGGTTTCACCGCGTTAACCAGGATGGTCTCAATCTCCTGACCTCGTGATCCGCCCGCCTCGGCCTCCCAAAGTGCTGGGATTACAGGCATGAGCCACCGCGCCCCGCCTGAAAGACAGTTATTATATTAGCTGCTTCGCTAGGTGAGCTCCACCAGCTTGGCAAGTTACTTAACCTCATCCAAGCCTCAGTATCCCTGGCTGCAAAATGGGGATAATACTTACTGTATAGCTTTGTTAAGTAGATTATAACAGACATAAAATTTATAAACATATAATTACGTAATATATAAAGTCTAAAAATTATAGTTTTATTCACTATTATATATAGAGTACTAAACTGTGTGTCTGACACATAGTAAGTGCTCAATAAATGTTAGTACCAACTATATATTATATCAATCATTTGGGACTGAATGGACAGCAGTGCCTAGCCTGGGACTCTCTTCTTGGGCCTTGCTCTTAAAAAACAAAACAAAACTCTGCTCTAGACCTTATTTCTTGGGTAGCAAGGTCTCCTGGACTTTGAGGAGTCCGTTGAGAGATTGAGCTTTGGCAAAATGATTTGAATCTGGTTTCCTCTTGTGCGAGTTATTTAAACTGTTTCAACTTCCTCCTCTGTAAAATGAGGATAATAGTACCTACCTCACAGTATTTCCAGGATTAAATAAGCTGATGTAGGTAAAGCTCTGAGCACAGCAGCTGCTTGTAAAAAGAGCTTGATAAATGTCAGCTGCTGTTATTTGGTGACAATGGAGCCAATCATTGTGGTTTACACTTAGAAACCAGAGTTTCTTAGCAAGGGAATTAGCCCATAGATAACTGTATGTAAGCTACGAAGGACACATCTGCAGTTGAACTTGTGGTCCTGTGCGAAGATCACACCAAGATTGGATGTCCATGTCTCTCGTCTACTACTCTGCTACTGTGTGACTTGTATTTAATTAGTGCAGAAACCCCTACCCAGCCTACCTTCCCAGAGTATACCCCTCAGGCTGGAAAAGGGTACCATGGACATGAATGTATATCCTGAGAAGTTAAGAACCTTCTATGCAAACAGTTATTTGTTGTTGTTTTTAGGAAAACTGCATAGGGAGGGTGTCCTGAAATTGGGATTCTGCTCTGTCCTCCCTCCCCAACCCTTAGGATCTTTTGCACTGTTCTTTGGCGTCCAGAAAAAAAAAAACCCAGCCTAGCTTTCTCTGAACAGTTAGTGGCCCTGTTTGCTGGGCAGCAGGGGTGGAGACTGGACCAGCTGGTACCAGGCCCAGTGTCTTGAACACTGATGCCACTCGACTCCCAGCAGTAGAGCTGGAGTGTTGAGCTTTGTCCAGTGTATTAAGTGTCCCTGCTTGGGCTAGGGAGGGGGGCAGCTGGTGACAGAGCCGTCATGGGATGCTCCTGATCCCTCGCCAGAACTTCCTGTTGAATCCTTTTTTCTACTACATGGTCTGTGTTTTCCCCTCCACGGGAAGAAATCCACAGTTTTGCCACCGGCCCTGACTGACTTGTGGAATCTCTTGCTTCTGAGGCTGGACATGGGCCTGCTTCCCCTGTTAGCCTCGACTTCATTGCCTGTAAAATGGAGATAAGATTCACCTTGCATGGTTATGGTGAGGATTAAATGTGATGTGCATATTCAGCCAAGCGCCTGCACATGCCAGGTGTCCCATAGATGTTTGTTCCTTTCCCCTTCTTTGTTACTTCTGGAGATCACTTTCTGGGGAGCGGGGACCAGCCAGCAAGAAGGGGTTTGGAGGCCACCTCCTGGCACTGTAGTCTACAATCCCCAGTCACCATATCCAGGATAGACAGGATGCCCAGCCAGAGAGGATACCCTCGGGAGTAGCCAGCCCACAACAGCAGTTCTTGTCTTTCCCCTGTGGTCGCTGTGTGCCCCCCTGCCCCCTGGCCTTGCTAATCTCAAGTGTACTTTGAGTTGGCAAATAGTGTTCAAGCTAGGAGTGCCTGGCCCATCCCTAGGGATGTGGCAATTTAGATTCCCACTCCTGGCTCCTGTCCTTAGTGACCGGAGCACCCAGGTAGCTTGAACGTGGCCCTGCCTGGATCCCAGGCACACTGGTAGAATCACATCCGACGGGAATCCTGATTCAGCCTTACCCATAGGCCTTCTATTGGGCACCAACTTTTCTCAGGGTCTGTGCTTCCTGCTTTCCAGGAGCTGAAGCACTAGTGGGAAGGACTGCAAATCCGAGACCCTGAGGACTGTGGGCAGCCTCCAACCCTGGGGACTGCCCGGTTAGAGCAGTTGAGATTTAGCGGGGAGAGGGGATACTTGACTGCTTGGTTTCCAGGGGGCTGTGGAGGAGGTGTGAGATTTGAGCTGGGCAGGGCTCAGGTGGAAGGGAGAGGCAGTCCAGGAAGGGGAAGAAACCAGAGCCTGGTGACCACGTTGGAAGCAAAAACAAGCCCAGTGCTAATGAATTCTCTTATTTGGGGGCCCATGGAGGTATGCTGAATCATCTAGTGACACACAGATA